TCCTCCCGAGTAGCCCGCAGACCTTTTTATCTTTTCGGGCAGAGTGAGTTCCTAGCACCCGCTCACTAAAACCTTTGTATATTCTTCCCATAAATGAAAATATATATTCTAAAAACATGAATTTTTTTTTGTCTAGTGGGCACCAAATATCGATTCCCCCAAAGGGTTGAAAACTTGCTCCTGATTCGAAGAACCCGCGGCAAGGGATTCGAACCCCCGACCCGAGGGACTTACGCCAGAGGCCGCACCAATGAGCCAGGTCATTCGCACGGCTATATATATATATACAATAATAGCGTTGATGGCGATCTGCTCTGCTAGGGTTTCGCCAAATGGCGAAACCATGGTTTGATTCCTTCGGCTTTCAATCCATCCTCTCCGAAGACACTGTTTTGCACTCGACGACAACGAAGGACTTTGCTTTTGCGTTCGCTGTCTTTTGGACCTTTCTAAGCCTTTGTGTTCGTCATCTTTGCCTTTGCACTCGACAACGACGACGGTGAACAACATTTGGACCTTCACTTTTGCGGCATCTTCGCTTTTGCGACGTCTTCGCGCCGCAGTTCCTTTATGCGCGTGGTCGTGTTGAAGTTTAGACTCTGTCGAGCTGCGATTTCATTCTGCGCAATCGTCATCTGCGGTTACTGTCTGCGGTTCCTCTCTTCTGCGCAGCTTCGCCCCAGACCTCTTCTGTCCGGCTTGCAGCTCTTCTCCTTGTTGTGACTTGTTGTAATGGAGCTTCCTCCTTCGATTCAACCCGACAAAACCTCTTTTGCCCACATTGTGGGTAATCTTCGGGGGGAGACGGTGGTCGTCTTCCCCTCAAGTTATAAGGAGAATGATGTTGGTACAGGTGACTGCTCCTTTATTAAGAATGCAAGCAAGAAGAGTGGGAAGGCAGCACTCTTTTTCTCTGAGTCAGAAATTTCAACCCTAACTAATAAATTCAAATTTGCTCTCATTGGAAAATTTCAGTGGGGACCCCCAGCTATGGAAGTTATTAGGAAAAGTTTTGATGCCCTCAAATTAGCAGAAAAATGGAAAGTGGGGCTCATGAATGGAAGACATGTATTGATTCAGTTAAATGTGCCTAAAGACTACACTCGTATTTTCTCCAAAAAAATATCTTGACATTGCTGGTAAACCAATGAAGCTACTCAAGTGGTCTCCTAATTTTGACCCCAATCATGAACATCCTATTGTACCGGTATGTTTAATCTACCTGGTCTCAAGCTGCACTTTTTTATCATTATGTATTTTACTCTATTGGTGTCATACTTGGGAGCCCTATGAAGCTAGATCTACCCACTTTCAACTTTACCAAATCTTCTGTGGCCAGAATACTTGTGGAAAAAGATATTACTTTGTCTGATGTTACTGAAGTCTGGTTGGGAACAGCGCATAATGAATATTGGCAACAAATCGTCAAGGATCATAGACTTTCTTATTGTTCTCACTGTAAAATGTTTGCGCATACTCTTGATAAATGTCATAAGTTTCACCCTAATTTCAAATCAAATAATCAAATGAATAAGGATGGATCTAAGGATATATTTGTACTGACCGGAAAAAAAGCTACCACATAACAGATTTTGGTGTCTGATTCTATTGTCATTGTTGTTACTGTTACTGCGAGTGATGTGATTTTGATACCTTCAAACCACAAAGAAAACAATACTGATAGACTATTACCTACAAATGATAGTGTTCAGACTAATAATCAGAAGCGCCTCATAGCTGCACTTCTTCAGGAAGTATTCGGTGTAGAGGCAACTCATACTTCACATATACTAGAATCTATTGCGGGTACTACTGTTGGTATTCCTTCTGCTTCAGCTCTACCACCCCATCAGACTAATTCTTCGGATAAGGAATGGGAGGTCTATTCTAGGAAGAAGAAGAATGGAGGGTGACTCCAGCTCAAGAACATGTGGGTACTACGGTTGGTATTCCTTCTGCTTAAGCTCTACCACCCCATCAGACTGATTCTTCGGATGAGGAATGGCAGGTCTATTCCAGGAGGAAGAAGAAGAATGGAGATCGACTACACCTTGGAAACATATTGGATGATACATTAGTTACTGCTGGCAATGGCTATCATCTTACCAGTACTATGTATTTTGACACTGTTAGACTTTTTATTTAAGTGTTCAATCTTCTTGTAGAAAATATCGTTAGCTTGTTCATCCATATTACAAAAATAGAAGACGAAATTAAAATATAGGTAATAGCGCCTGAAACAAACAATTAAGCATTGATCAACAATGATTTAAGTGTCCAGCTTTTTATTTAAGCATCTAATGTATTTTTCTGTTTTTTCTAGTTTTGGAACCATTTGTGATTTTTGAGTGGGCAGGGTGCCATACTTGGGTCTCACACATTTTATCTGTATCTTTCTTTCTATTTAATATATTAGTTTTTTGGGGCTTTCAAAAAAATAATAATAATATCGTTGTTATTTAAAAAAAAAATAAAGTCTTTAGACCTAGCAACTGTTACGGCTTCGCTGCCTCTTCTTCGGAGTCTTCGCACCTGTTTTCTATTTCGTCTGCCTGGGTCTCGCGATCTGCGGCGCGGCCTTCCCGCTCGCGAACTTTCCCGGATCGGGAGTTCTCGGCTTCCTCTACGGTGCGGCTCTATGTGCCCTCCCGTCTCGCGGGTGCCTCTGTTGTTGTCTTCCAGTCTCGCGAGTTTTGCGGCTCCCTTCTCGCGAACCCGTCATGCGAGCAGCTCTCGCGGCTCCTTCCGGTCTCGGCTCTGCGACTCCTCTACAGTGCGGCTCTCGGTGTTCTCCTTTTTTGTTTCTTCGGTCTATGTTTCCTGTCTCGCTCTGCGGCTCCTCTGCAGTGTGACTCCCAGTATTCTCCTTTTCAGCTTCCTTACGCCACTTTTCCCTGTTTTATTCTTAACGCCGCATCTTTATTTTGAGGATGGCTTCAGACAGATCGTATGCAGTTGCCCTCACGGGTGTACATGCCTCAGGTACACCTAAATCGTGTTCTTTCTCTTCTTCGTTTGAGTGAGAGGAGTACATCAAGAAATCTGGTAGGAAGAATGGGAAACCAGCCATCTTTTTTACAGAAGCTGAAGGTATTCAACTTGTTTCCTCCTGTCATCTGAATTTGGTTGGAAAATTTCTATATGGTCATCCCAAAATGGAGCTTATTCGCAAGAAATTTGAACTTATGCAGCTTGTTACGGAGTGAAAAATTGGACTATTAGATGGGAGACACATTCTTAGTCAAATTAATATTGAAGAAGATTACACACGCTTATTTGCTAGAAAGATAATTTGGATTGATAACAGAGCAATGAATATTCTAAAATGATATGTAGATTTTGACCCACAGACGGAACCGTCAATCATTCCGGTTTGGATTCTCCTTCCTGGTCTGAAATTTCATTATTTTTTTCTGAAAAAGTGTTGTATTATATTACCTCAGCTTATGGTAAGCCACTCAAGACGGACATTCCTACTCTTAATTTTTTCCGTCCATCCGAAGCTAAAGTAATTGTTGAAAGAGACATTACTTATTCCGCTTCTGAGGAAATTTGGTTGGGCACACAACATCATGGATATTGACAGAATGTAGAGATTGAGCATTTTCTTTCGCATTGTTCGAACTGTCGTATGTTCGGCCACTTCAGTTCTCAATGTCATCATCTATATCCCCACCTCAGACCAAAGAAACAAAGTGCTCCGCTAGAGGCAGTGATTCCAACTCCTCCTCAGCTCCAATTTATTGACACTCGATTATCAAAAGGATACACCTGAAGATGTCACTATTCCCGCAGGCAATATATCAACCATTCAGTCTCCACACATTGTTGTAGCTCCCCCTTCTTTGAAACCTCCTATCGTAGAGACGAGGGAGATTCTTCAGACTCCGTCTGCCCTAGAACCTATTAGTGATATTACAGGTGAAAATACCTCTGTTGCTTCACTACCGCCTCATCAAGTCCAGAAAGATGTCAATGCTACTCTAACTCAGGGGGATCATGATGTGCAACGTCCTACACCTGTCCGGCCACCTTTGGACCAATCCATTGATCAATTGAGTCGATCCTCGAATGAGGAATGGCAGTTCTACACATCTAGAAGGAAGAAGAAGAATGGAGATATACTTGAGCTCAGAAATCTGATGGATGATACTTTGGTTACTTCGGGAAATGGTACGCACCATACCAATTTGTTAGTTGGCTCCCTTCCAAGAACTAGAGGGAGAGGAATAACTAAAGTGGAACGTCCCTAGCATCCCTAGCACCTTTGCTCAAGCACCTTTGCTCATGTTGGTGGATTTTTGATTTTTTATCTTTATGTATCTTTGCTTCTTTGGGTTTTTGTGTGTTGTATTTTGTGAATTGGGCCTTCTTTTAGGTCATCTCATACAACCTATCTGTACATTTTCTTCTTTAATATATTAGCCCTTGGGCTTTTTTAAAATAATATATATATCTCCGGCTTTTAGGAAGCACAAAATTCTGCACTCACAACTCATGCCAGCGGGCTCGGCTAGCCTTTCTGTTGCTCTTCCATTGCTGGTAAGTCTGCAAGCTACACGATATTCTAGTTCAGCAATCCACATCCTCCTGCATTAGATAAGCGATCCACGCGCTCCTGCATTTCAAATGCAGTCTGCCAACCGCCATTTTCTAGTGTGGAATAAATTTTGAATTCATTTTATTTGATTAGGTTGATTTCATTCCTATTTTTCTTTTCTTAATTTGCTATGTTTCACCTATAAATGTTGCATCCAGCCAACCTATTGAAATTATTAAAAAAAAATTTCTTCCATCATATTTTCCAACATAGATCTTATCAAGCAGAAATTCAGATTTTATACGGCATTCATCCGGAACATCATTTTTGGTATAAAGCAAACTGATAACATGAATCCCCAAAATTTCAAACTTATTAATCCTTGAGATCCACAATGACATGATAATCCTAGAAGCTAATTTCAACATTGTAAAGCTGTAATTGTGAGTAAAATCAGTACCTGTACACCAGCAGAGCAATATATACAAAGCACACAAAAAATGATGCCAAGATATGGCATCAAACTAGGAATAAGAGTTAAGAATGTTGCAACAAATCCTCTGTATTGTCGGACATTCAACAAGAGCCTTATTAGACGCAGCATCCTTGCAATTAGAAGATAGCGAATCCTGTCACAAACAAAGAACTGAACTGAGCCGTCTCTTGATTTATTCAAGGAAAAAAAATGCTTTAGAGATACTGTAAACAGGTGAAGCAACAATCCTTTTCAGGAGAATACTATTTTTGCATAAGTAGTTCTTAACAAATAGACTAAACCTTTGCACAAGCTGTTATATCAAATGTCATTAGTAATCTAGACACGCAATTACGGAACCATTTCATGGATTGAGAATACAAAAGATTTTATGGAACCAAACTGTTTTACATTAATTTTACAAAAAAGCAAAAATATTTTAGAACCTAGTAATTTTACAATATCAAACTCATCTAGCAGTGTAAGATAACAAAATTTTATCCATAGATCCAAGTCAGAATATCGAGGAGTAGGTTTAATAAAAATCATTTTAAATAAAGAATTACTATCAAGCACAAAATATGGCTAGAAATAGTGCTTGCCTTTTTGCCACAGTTGGCAGCGAGGCCAACAACAGGCATCATATAAAAAAGAATACAAAACAATGTCATCAGCCATGTGTTGCTGCTAAACTTAGAAAACTGATTTATGATAACTATATGCTTTTTTAGAATTGGCCTATAAACAAGGCAATTCAACAAGGTGAACTTATATTAATGGTATGGAAAATTATGCACAGTTGAATTCATTGCAGATTGCTGGTGAGTATAATTTAGAGGTATTACAAGAAAAAAAGGAAAAAGCAAAACAGAATGAAGCCATTGAAATGAATGACCTCACCATTCACCATTTGAAAGAAAGGGAAGCTGAGATGAAAAGAAAAAGGGTCGTGGCCTCTCCAATGACTGCTGAAAAAAAAAAAACACATGTAAAGAAATCACCATACAAATCAACTGCATTTTCTTTGACATGCATAACTAAAAAGCCAGCACTCTAAGAAAACAAAGCAGAATATGAGTAGATAAACTGCTTGAAGCACAGACTTATAGAACACTATCATGAAAAAACTGCAAACCTTTCCAACCAATCTACAAAACTTACACACACAACTCAACAAGATGGGAAATATCATTCCTTACAACTCTAAAAAGACTTTTGAGCATCAAATATTAGTAAACTGAAATAATCATGTACTCAATGTGGAATAGTTCGAAACTTCTAAGATGTTCACTATTGCATATCTAAGATTAGATTCACAAACTAAGAAGAAGAATACTTACAGTAGCCAGAAAAATCTACATTGTATCCATGCTAACACAATACCAAATATATCAAATATTACATTTCTTGAATTTGACGTAAATTAAAATTAAAAATTAAAAGATAACCATAATGCACATTATATATTACCAACAATCTTTCATTGAGGCTAGACTAAGACACCACATAAGCTATTGTATGGCCTCTAATTATCCCCACTCGGCTCTAACATATCTAGGTGATTTAAGAATGATTTCTTACAATATACATTGTATAGTAGAGAGGACATTACCCGAAGATCTGATCTCATAAATAACTTTATTATATGGTTTGAGATTTCTCATATGCATAAGCCTTTATATTAGATTAAAAGCTCTCGATCATCAGATAACCCTTTATATTAAGCCTAGTATATAACTTAACAAATGCTGGAATTAGTAGAATTTATATAAGTCAAAAGGAAATATAATGTCACTATTATCCCAGAGCGGAGGGAAGAGGAAGGGGTTGGTCATTAGAAGAGATGGTCAGGTTGAAGCAGAGTCACTAGAGTTGTGGTGGAGTTATATGGAGATGAGACGCGAGCAGGTGAGAAGGTTGCTGAGTTGGGGTTGATCGTTGATGCTTGTAGAAGTAGGACAAGCGGGCTGGATTAGGGAAGTTCAAGGGTGGGGTTGTTGGGCAATGAGTTTGCTACCAAAGAGAGACATTAGTGCTAAAGGCAAGAATTGTGGACGAAGTGAGAAAGCAAGCAAGTTATTTGGGGTTCAATTCAAAGCGAGCAAATTTATAATAAACTAAGATACCTTTGAGTGGGAGGAAAAGGAGGTGACAACCTCCAAACTCTAATTAGGGTTGGTCGATTCATCCTCCTTGCTGAGCCGGTAGGCACCTTGCAGAACCGAGGCTAGTTCAGTCTTAGCAATAACCACGCTGCAGTCTCCCAAGGTTGGTGGAGCTTCGAATTTATTCTTCTAATCTTTTGGTTCCTCGTTTGCGGCCCTAAAAGCTCCTGGATCGCATTGATGACTGAACTGTCTCTCGATGCATTTGAAGAGCTTTCCCCATTTGCGAGCAGCGATCCATATCAACCCTATCTTCTTAGAACTCACTACTGAACTGACCTGGGTCCATGTCACACATATTCTACTAAATCATTACAAAGTCATACAAGGTCGGCTCACCATGATTTGATGTGATGGTAGTCTGAATCTTTCCGACCGATGTTGACCATTGTGGTAAAGTATCGATCTCGATATCCTGAAATACTCTATCATGATCATCCCATGTCTAGACTCGATGTCTCAGTCATATCATCCTCTATCGTCACAAAAATTGGTCCCCCCAATGCTGCTTTGTCGGAGAGGGAAGTTGTGATCTAGGCTTCGTCAAAAGAAGGACGATGCATTGTCCCTCCTTAGTAAAAGAGTAGGTGTTTATGAATCTATCATGTTGAGTTCCTACTATAAAATTGCCACAGTTTGTCAAACGAAAAGTAGCAAGCATCCTTAGGTATCACATCCGACCACACCCGATCCTGCAGATGGCTCCCAATCGAAAACTCCACCAAGGCCCTCCAGTTAATGTTAACCATGTTCTCCTTCAACCCGGTCAGAGAATACGGCTGGGAGTGCCTCTAAGTTCTGAGGCCCAACTTCTCTGCTATATGTGAAGAAACCACATTCTTACTGCTCCCTCCATCGATGATAAGATTGCATACATTCTCATTCATAGTGCAATAAGTTTATAATATGTTGTGGTGAAACCACTACGGATCTCTCGTATCCTCGATCTATAAGACCCATTGAACCATGAGAATCTCGCATTCGTCCGGATGAGGATAATACATCTCACCCTATTCTCAATTGTCTTTTCATCGCTAACCTCCACCACGCCATTCTTGATGAAAGACACAAGTTGACTTGTAAGGCAGCTAGAGGCAGTGTGCCGAAATTCATGGCATCTAAAGTATTTTCTGACGGGGACAGTAATAGGCGTGCTACTCTTCTCGGGATTCTACTCACTCAGAGTGATTTTGTCCTTATTCAAACCAGTTTTCTCAACTCCTTGAGGCATGCTCATGCTTGTGTCCCCAACTACAGATGGCTGCCTAACTGATGTTGGTTGTCTGCCCTGTCTCTGTTGTATGTCCACCTTTAAGGCTAAGATCTGGACATCTCTTAGTGTTCAATAGGGCTACAACTACACGAAATTGTTGATAGAGGGTATCATACCACCCAGATATCAAGTTATGGTATGTACCTCTGGCTCGACTATCTCACACTTCATCTGCAACTAGTCAAACTGGACTTTGAACTCCTCTATTAATAGATCTCTCTGTTGTTGGGGTTGGAGTCTTAGAAACACATCGTATCGGTAATGATGAGATAGATATTTTCTATGTATGGCCTTCCTCTTTTTCTACCACTAGATAATATTTTAGCGGTCTTCTCTTTTCCTCAATCTCTGCAAATTTTCCCAATTTGATGGCTGTTAGTTTTACTCTTTTATCTTCTAACACCACTTTGTACTTGAAGATTTTCTCAACTGACTGCAGTCATTTGATGAAGTCATCGAAATCCATACAATCATCGAACTCTGGTAGATTCACCTTTATTATAATGCCTCTGTGTCCTCCATATGCGGCCTCCTCTTGCGGCCTCCTCTGATACTGGATTTCAAAGGGACATGGTCTTTCTTCTTCACCACTGAAATCCTCCCTGTAAAAGGGGTTGAAATTCCCATCTCAATCGCACCTACATCTTTCTCAATCACTATCTAGGATAATTTGCTTCTAGGTTTCATCCTCCATGTCCTTAAGCCTCCATTGAAGTTGATGGCTCTCTAGTTGTATCTCTTTTAGAATAGGTTCAGGCATGTATCTCCTTAGTGACATGGCTAGGGTTTCAGGTTGATAGTTGAAAGAGGGTGTATGAGTTGAATTGAAGGTGTAGAAATATTAAGCTGATTTGAAAAATCAGCAAGGGAAAATTAGTGTTAGGTCAAAATTTGTCTATGGTTTCGGAAAAAATATATATAATTTTTGATAGAGAGGACAAGTTGGATACTAGGGAACCCTATGATAGGACTAGGATTATGCTAGCTCTAATACCAAATGATACCGGAGTCAGCTCAAACCATAATCAAAATGGAAATATTATTGTCGAAATTCAAAGAGGTTACAAATAAGACTTAAAACAGGAAAGGAAATGCAACACAACTCGACTTTCTAGCTAGATTTAGGTCAGACGACTAGTGGACAGCTGTGAAATGGTTGGGGTGGTCAGCGGTAGGGGGAAGGTTGTCGCTACTGGAGGAGCCACGACTAAGATAGGGGCGGCATGAGCAGGAGGGGCAGCTTGAGCAGGTCTGTGGTAGTGAGGGTGGTTGTAGGCAGGTTTGTGAGTGGAGTTATTAGAGTGGAATGAAAAGTGTTGTTTTGCGGTAGTGAGGGGGGCTGTAAGATGGGTTGTGGGTGGAACACTTAGAGGGGAAGGGGATTGGTGGTTGTGCTAGATGAAGGTAACGTGCAAAGAAGATTGTAGAGGGGAATTGGCAAGGATAATATTGCTCGGGATTGAGCTACAGTCGGAGCACCAGTCGGACCTGCGGAGACGGTCACCACCTCAAACTAGTTACAGCCAAAGCCCCTTCTCGCTATCAAATACAGCCCTATACGGTTCAGTCTTAGCAGCAGCACCACATCAAGTTGAAATTTTAATTTAAATTTTTTTTTCATTTTGATCGAACTTGGCATGAATTTTGAAATTGATTGGACTTCAAGTTTTTCATGAGGATAAGGTTCAAATTCATTCTGTGATAGCAAAGAATTTTGATAGAATAAGGATTTGATATTTTTAAAATGACATTATTTTCATATATCTAATATGAGAATAAGGGATTTTTTTTTTATAAAAGCCTTCTCTTGCATAAAGCATCTCGAATAACATGTCACAACTACACAAGCAAATTTCCTAAAAATTTTCATGTTGTGATCTAGAAAACATGGGCATGCTTCTTAGTTATTTTAAATATTTTAGATGTGTCGATGTTATCTATTTTGTGGAACGAGCAATGATTAAACAATTTTGACATTTGTGATGAATTTGGAGCTGAACACATGCAATACTGTGTATGTTAGCTACCGTCTTTATCATCATCTAGAGAATTGATCATGGGAGTTCTTTTCAAAAAAAATTGATGCTCCAGATGCATCAGCACAACCCATTTTACAAAATAATCAAAGTATAAGTTATGAACGAGTTTTGAAACTTATTAGTATGACAACACATCCAACATTAATCATCTATGTTGATTAAATATTGGTGATGAGTCTCTTTTTGGCTACTTAAGACGTTCCAAACATAGCATAACAATCTATTTTGTAATAAAATATAATGTTTCAATGAATCTTAGTTCAAATCATGGCATTTTGAACCTGAATTGCACAATGTTGCATTTGTTGTAGAATTTTTTGATTTTTTTCAATTAGATTGACCGTGAGATTGAAAAGATGACCAATAATGTCCACTAAAAAATATGACGTGCTCCTTAGCGCTGCAAAAAACAAAAATCGTCATTTGCGAACAGCTCGTATTCGGCTCATTTAAATAGCTCGTATTCAATTTGTTCGTTGAGTACACGAGTCGGATACAAACAATTTTTTTAAGCTCGATTTAAAAATGAGTCGAACATGACCAAAGTTGGTTCGTTCGTTTTTTGGTTCATTTTGACTCGAAGTATTTAAATAATAAATAAATAATACATAAAAGTTAAAATAATAGTATATAAAATATAATATTATAAATTTAATTTGAATAATATAATAAACAAAATTTAGATAATAAATGTGAAAATGCATAAGATTCGATGGTATGTATATAAATGCCAATGGAAATTTTACAAATCACACTTTTGTGTTTTCTTTATTTAGTTTAAACACGTAAATACATAAACATTGGGTGGTATGCATTTAAAATACCATCTAAATTAGCTTAAATCCCGCCTAAGTTTTCAAAATTGCCGCTGTCATTTACCTTTTTTGACAGCCACATTGCTGTCAAGACTCCCATTTGCCACTTTTTTTCAAACTCTCCCCATCTTCATTTTCATCTCACACATGTAAAAAGTGAAGAATGCCTTTTTAAATTATGTTTAAAAAGTAAATGGGCCTCTAAAAATTTAAAGTTATAAGTGAAACTAAACTTTTCATTTTTAACAAGCCGAACATGAGCCTATTTAGACAAATTTCAAGCTTATTGAAATGAATACGAATAGCTTATTTTCGAGCCATTCAAACATAAGCCGAACACAAACAATAAAAAATTCGACCGAGCTAAACACGCAAAAGACTTGAGCAAACTCAAGTTTGGCTCGTTTACACCCCTAGCCTCAACACATGGTAACTATCATTATGAAATTTCAACAAGATTTTTAGCATGCTTCCTTTGATATGGAAGATAATATACATGATGTTTAGGTACTTTAGTGCACTGGAGGCATCCTGAGAAGAGTTTGAATAGATAAACAGTGGCTCTAGCATCACTGGTGGGGATATCTAAACCATCGATCTAAAGTCCAGCATTTCCACTGTTGATAATAGCATTAGTTAGACAGATGTTAATTCCAAGTCCTAGTTGTACAGTGAAAGGATTGTTTTGTTTGTTTACAAAAGAATAACATTGCGTTTGACATCCATTCTAATACAATAAAACACTTCAAATTAATCAAAGATAGTCATAACAATGCATAGGTGCATGCATGCCCAGGTAGATAAAGAGATGTAAAATGAAATCCGATAAAACAAAAAAAGAAAATAAATGACGTAATGAAAATAGTTACGTAGTCGGAAAACATAGCTCGTGCTTGTGTGAACATGATTAGACAGGCATACATGAAAAGGGTATGAATATATTTATATAAGATAAATAACTACGACTGTTAATTCAAATAACAACTAAAAATGGAACCAGATACTAATAGGGTTAAATGATGTGCCAATAGATTAAATGATGCTCGAAATATAACAATGAAATAATAATGATAGTGGCACAAACTTGTCATTTTTATTGAAAACATCTTTTCATTTAAGCTGCTGATTTGTTATTTAAGTATATTAGCTCGTCATTCAAAACTTCTGCTATAATGAATTAAGAATAAAATTGTTTGTTACGAAGTGAAGTCCTTAAATTATAAGTAGTCCTCTCACTTTCACTTATCCCTTAATAGTTATTACTGTAGTTTGTCCAGTAGCATAATATAATCCTATTTTTGTCCTATTCATATTGGCTGAACATAACCATTATTTGTTTCCCAAATCCTTTACACCGTTCTCCAGTATCAGAATGGAGCAATTCCTACAGAAGTTATCTAAAGATAACAATGGAAATGGTGTTAGATGCTACTAAAAAAAATCAATCCCAGCAATAATATTTAAATGGGAGGAGAAAAAAATTCAAATGTCCACTCAAGATTTCCCCAAAGGACATTAAAAAACAGTTTTTTCGGATACCTATTATCCATGTGATCACAAAATCAAAACGGTTTTGCCCTTCCATCCAGTATGTTCCAAACCCATACGTAAAGACTTTTAAAGCCACCTCAAGGACATAAATCCAACCTGTTGGACAGTATAAAATGTGTTAGCACCACAGGTAATGTAAAAAACTGAATAACACGGAAGAAAAATGAAAATGAAGGATAAATTTTGAGATTTATATTTCTGCTAAATAAATCTGCAATCCTCCTAAATAATGTGAAGAGATGAATAATTTGAATTGAGTATTTCATTAACAGTCTTACATTTCTATTTGTATGGTAGAATGCTAGATTTTTCCAAGATGATTTATGCCGATGAAAACAAATATATAGATAGTGATTACAAGGTAATATTCTGGATAAATATACAATATTTAACCATATTTTTATGTGTGGATATTTTCCAGCTTGCGCGAATTTTATTGAAATCTTGAGGGTGATTTCCATTTTAAGCCCACATTTTGCCACCATACTCCTAAGGGAAACCCATTAGCTTGCAATCCCGCGTATTGCTGAGCTGGTCCCAAGCAAGAAACACCAACACATCTCAAACTATAAAGTACTATATTTCACGACAAACTTGGAGTTGATATCATGAAGATAAAGCTTATTAGTCCTTTATTTAGGATGTCGTCCAACTACTTGTGTATTTGGACATCTAGGACACATATCAATCCACTTTCTTTTTGTTTGGTAAAGTGTCAATCAATTTCTGTGTTTGGTGCAAGCAAATTGGGCAAAAGTAGTGTCCACAATTGACAGTTAATTTATTACTGTAATATATCTCATTTTATTTTCAAGTCATTTAAGATAATTTTGATTCACAAGAGTTCATAAGCTCCTTGGGTCATTTAATCCAATTAAACGCCAGCACTTGATCTGATGACTACTAAAAAGTTATTACTCGAAGTGAATAGATTTTCACCCAAGATGGTGCAATAAAAAGTACCAGATTTCCTTTTTTACGAGGGATCCTGCCCAATCATTAATTGCTTCCATTTCTCAAATAAGATTCCATCTCCCATAATCGCTTTGAGATATTAAAATTCTTATATGCCAAATATAGATTTGCTTCATTAACAAAATGAATTAATTGATTTGAAAAAGTTAGAGCTTAGGCAATGTCCTATATTGTGTGAGCCCGATCAACCTTCAGCACCTCCCTTTGTCAACTTTTGCATTGTTGCCTCTCTAACTCGGTAGTAATCAATTTAAGCTCATAAGAGCATGCATGCCATCATACACATTTCATTTAAAAGTGGCCAAATATATTTATTTGGAATATGAATACCCCAAACTTTGAGTACAACAGAAACAAAGCCTTAATCCCACTACATGGGGTCGGCTACATGAATCCTTTTTCTCCATTGCGTCCTATTTATTGTCATATTTTCATTTAGTTCTAGTAAATTAAGATCATTTTTATACAATAAGCCCAAGTCTTCATAGGTCTACCTCTGCCTTTCTTAACACATTTCGAATCTAAAACATCTACTCTCCTAATCGAATCATCAGATGGACGACGTTTAATATGACCAAACCATCTAAGACGACTTTCTCTAATTTTGTCCGTCAAAGGAGCTAAACCAACCCTATCACAAATATATTCATTTCACATTTTGTCTCTAAGTATAAAGCCACTCATCCACCTAATCATTCTCATCTCGGCTACACTTAACTTATTATTATGCTTCTCTTTTAAAGGCAAACATTCAGCACCATAGAGCATCCGCCGTCCTAGAAAATTTTCCTTTCAGTCTAAACGGTACTTTTCTATCACACAAGGCCCGAAGCATTCCTCCACTTCAACCAACCAACTTGAATTCTACTATTAACATCCCCATCTATATCACCATTGATTTGAACAACGGACCCAAGATATTTAAATCGTTCACACCTTTTAATAATTTGATCACCCAAAGTCACAATTCTGTCACTAGAGCTACTACTATTAAAATTACATTCCATGTATTAAGTTTTAGTTCTACTTAAATGAAGGCCTTTAGACTCCTGTTTTTCCAAACTTTGAGTAAACCGCTTAAATTCCAAAATAGTTGAGTACCTTAGAACTTTCATTATATATTTGAACATCTATTTTTCAATATTTTTTAGATCGTCACATATTATAAGCATGTCATCCACATACAATATGAGAATTATGATTTTATCATTCTTTATGAATAGATTGTCATCTTAAGGACTTTGTTTGAAGTTAATCATTTTCAAGGCTTTGGTGAATCTCCTAAATCATCCTCTTGAAGATTATTCAAGCCCATATAGAGCTTCTCCAATCTACATAAATCGTTAGTACTAGAATCTTGATTAAAACCCGATTGGAGATCCATACATGCTTCATCTAGCTGGGCATGTAAGAATGCATTATTTATATTTAACTGTTTAGGGCTTATTTAGGTTTTTGGCAGGGATAAAAGTTTCTTGATGGTACTTGTTAACTTTGCGATTAATGCAAATATTTCTCCATAATCCACTCTAATGTTTAGTGTATCCTTTTGCAATGAATCTAGCCAGTTTTATACCTTTTGACTATCTCATTCAAACTATAGTTTTTTGACCTCCATAGCTGTCCCATAATACAACTCAGCTGAGCACATTGAAAGTGGTTAAGAACGTACAGTTTTACACAAGTTTAAATGCATTGACCGTATCCAAATCATCCAAGTATGGCTTGCCCCACAAACACACTGTGTTGATACATTCGAAGGGTTGAAAATACTTAGAAAGGGATCCTGTGGTCGATTCAACTAAAGTTGATGACGACAATGGGCATCAAACTTGATACTGCAAGAATTGAGTTTAAAATGTCTCAATCATCATCAAAATTGTTCAAATGTCACTGGTTTATAAAAAGGACAATCTTAGTGTATCTGGAGCATCAAAATTTCCTGAAATGAGACTTCCAAGGTCAATTAAATTGAACATAATAAAAATAATGAACATTGAATGAGACGACACGCAATTTAGGCATGAATGCCTCAAACACAATCAAAATAGCTCAAACATAACCTAAAAAAGGACTGCACTGACTGAAGTGAGAGCATTACTCATGAGATCCACGGTCATGTTTCAGCAAAATGCTGCCTTCCGGTGGGTTCCGCCAATGTTGTGATACCTGACGTGGGATTTCTGTAGTTATGGGATTCTTGAAGCAGAATCGATCCCACGTGATTCCGTCTGTTGAAAAAACGTCAATGCCCTGAACGTGGAATGGGAGAACGAGCAATTATCATCCCGTTGTCATATTTTATGTGAATTTTTTCCTTTTTTAATTTATTTCTCATTTATTTTCTTCTAATAAAAATTCTTTCTAGGAAAAAATTATTAAATATTCATTTTTTTTCTATTTGGGAGAACTTTTGGCTATTGTTTTGTTATTTGGAGATGTTTTCTCTATCAGAGTACAACATCTTTGGATTTCTTTCAGGTGATGTGTTATAGCCTGATAGGAAAAGATCTCTTTCGAACATTTGAAAACCTCCTTCCTTGTCCAACTTGCAACAAACTGCAGTTTGCAGCAGGAAAACTGTTGTTTTTTGTTATAGTTCACTGTCCTGCTATCATTCACGTCGAAATTTCAGCCGCCCTGCATCCTCCCTCTCCCGTTACTCATCCTACAACTTCTCTAACACATTTTCGTATTCCCTCATACCTTCTAGGCACCCTAAAATGGTATCATCTGGCATCAGAGCCTGATAAATACCATCCTTCCTAGACCTAAACCAAAATTTCATACAACCTAGCATAACTTCCTCGCAATATATATATATATATATATTAAAAGATGAAATCGATATTTGGTCTAGTGGACACCAAATAACGATTCCCCCAAAGGGTTGAAAACCCTGGTGTGTTTGCTTCTGATTCTCGAAGAGCCCGCACAACGGGATTCGAACCCCCGACCCGAGAGACTTACGTCAGATGTCACACCAATGAGTCTAGTCACTCGCGCTCGCGCGCGCACGTGCACGCAAATACAACCTATCTGTACCCTTTTCTCTTCAATAAATTTGCCTAGGTTTATATATATATATATATATAATAATTTAATATATGACATCTTCTCCCGTGCTCGGCTATGCTAGGGTTTTGCCTCATGGCGAACCCTAGCGTCTGTTATATATATATATAAATCATCGACCTACGATATGTAAGATGGTGCCTTCTCCCATGCGCGGCACTGCTAGGGTTTTGCCTCATGGCGAACCCTAGCGTCTGTTACGGCGTATTAACGCATCGTACGCTCGATCCTTTCCTCTGGTCAGTCTCGCTGCGCCTGTCGTGCAGCCCTTTGTCGTTGTCGACGATTGGAAGGTCTGTTTCCGCCGCAGTCCTTCGTCATCTTCATCTTCGCCGTCGCACTTCTTCGTTTTCGTTTCTCGATGCAGACTTTCGTCTCACTGCAGGCTTTCGTCCCTGTCGTCGGGGACGTTCCTGAGCGCGAGCTGCAAAGAGTTCGTATTAGCTTTCGGATTCTGCTCTTCCTCGGGCTCGAAGCAGAGAGGTTGGTTTTCTGCTCGACTTGGACAGGGTCGTTTGATCCCCCTTTCAGCTTTTGACTTTTGTTCTTCCGTTTACTATTATTTTACTGTCCTATCGCCGCGTCTGTCTTTTGGTGATGGCTTCCGACAGATCGTATACTGCTGCCCTTGCGGACGTCCACGCTTCAGGTACTTCTACATCATGCTCATTCCCTCCTTTTGAGTTTACAGAGGATATCAAGGATATCAAGAAACCTGATAGGAGAAACCTGATAGGAAGAATGGGAAGCCAGCTATATTTTTTACGGAAGCTGAATGTAATCAGTTTGCTTCCTCCTGTCGTCTGAATTTGGTCGAAAAATTTATTTATGGTCATCTAAAAATAAAGTTTATTCGAAAGGAATTTGAGCTTATGCAACTTGTTGGGGATTAGAATATTGGTCTTTTAGATGGAAGAAACATCTTTATTCAACTTAATAATGAAGATGATTACACACGCTTATTTGTTAGAAGATTAATCTAGATCGATAATAGAGCTATGAAGATTTTGAAGTGGTCAGTGGATTTTGATCCACAGACGGAGCAA